GTACCTATAGCCCTATAACATGCAAAAAAAAGCAAAAAAGCACGTAAACACTAGGTATTTTTAAACTCAGGACAAAATTTTGAATCTATTTAGCAGTTTTTTTCATTTGCTTTTGTAGATGAGTAAAAGATTTTTCAAGTAAAAGTTAAAAAACATGTATTTTTTTTCAATTTTTCATCAGATTTTTGTATTTTTTTTCAATTAAAATACATGAGATTATATAAATAATGGTATGTAAAGAAAGCCCCTTTTGTCCTGAAAAAAACAATATATAATTTGTATGGGAACAGTAAATGAGAAAGCGGAAAATTACAGCCAAACACAAACACCACAAAAGTGTAAAAATATTCCTGGTCGCAAATGTACAACATCGCAAAAACAGTCCAGTCCTTAAGGGGTTAAACCTTTTCCCCTCTAATTTAAGACTATATCATCTTGTTGTGGTAGTTCTTCTTCTTTTAAATAATCTCCTTTACTGTGTTGATTCCCTTTATATATTTAAATGTTTCTATCATATCCCCCCTGTCTCGTCTTTCCTCCATGCTATACATGTTAAGATCCTTTAACCTTTCTGTAAGGAAACCAAGTATATTTAAACCTCATTCGGTAATTTCCTTCCGGACCGCCAGAGCCTTAGTGATTATAGCCCTCCGTTCGGCAGATAAAGTAGACGAACCATATAGTAAGCCCAATAGCTTCACAAGATGATTCCCTTAGTGAAACACACGAATTCCCAAACATCAGCCGAAGTCAAGAAGAAGGGTACAAAATGAACTAACTTTTAATGGGTGCACACAGGCTTTTATGCAAGTCCCCACGCAAGGGGACATCCCTCAGGGAGGGACAAACATTAACCAATCATGTACTGTAAAAACGTAACACACACCCACAGTTCCCTCCCCTAGCTCTGGAGATAATTAAGTCTGATAAAATAATAACTTAATTATCTCCAGGCAGAAAAATCACTTTTTTCCCCAATACCTGGGACACCCCTTTATACATGGTGTATCCCCACAAATAACATGTCCCCTGATAGCCCTGATATTGGTGACCAACATATCCGAATTTCACCCAGATCGGTTCAGGGGTTCGCAAAAACTATGGAGGTCTTCTGTGACTGGCTCACCCTGGGCTATATGCCCAAAACAGTACCATGAGTTTGGTGGGTTTTGCCGGTCACTTTAGAAAGAGGAGAAAAATGAACAAACTACCGAATGGATCCCCCTGGCTCTTAGCAGCGATCGTTCCCCTCTGTCCAATGCACCAAAGTACCGAATAGCGCTCTTCTAGCTATTCGGTAAGTAGAGTTCCAGCGTTCGTCTGTTTGAGACCGGTGTTCTGGAAGTCGAGTGTCCGATTTCAGTTCCATACACTTGACGACCAAGTCCCGCTGCCTTTGTTCGCATGAACAAAGATGGCCACGGTTTTCTCTGCCACGTGGCGTTCGGCAGTACGAACGCTGGCCGAACAGACAGAGGCATCAATTGAAGCAGTCTTTGATGTTTAACAAGCCGGTGGGGGGGGGAGGTCTTTGTTCGGTAGTTACATCTACAATAGGCAGAAATTGCAATAGGCAGAAATTGTGTACTAAAAGGGGGATTTCTTCACACTTTCCTTGTAAGTTTTATCCTGCAATCCATGAACCAGTTTAGTATCCCTTCTCGGAGCTCACCAGTGTTCTGTACAATGGTATGAGCACTTCCCTCTTTCTACTGCTAATTCCTCTACCTATACAACCAAGCATTCTGCTAGCATTTCCTGCTGCTCTATATGGAATATAACCATTTGTAATAGGTGCCTTACCAGTCATGATGGGTATGGTAAAATGTGATGTAATCCATAGCTCGGGCTAGATCTGAAGGACATTCAGTTTTTCGACAAACACTCCTCCTAAATAATCGCCTTTTTTGTGAACTTTTGAGCCACATGTGGATAAGAGCAGTATTTCGAACAATATCCTATTGCAATTTGCATTGGACGTAATATATAAACAGTAGAGTGTGGTTGTTAAATATATTAATTTGTTAAAGGAAAGCTTCACGATTGCATGCCCACCTTCTCTGATGTCAGGCATTGTCCTCTTCACGCCTGTGGTCCAATAAAACGGTCCACTGAACGCTACACTGATGTTCACTAACAGCAAGATGAGATACAGATTATTTTGCTTCTAAAGTGGGAGGGCTGGACAAGGGTGGTGGGAGGGTGAACAAGGGGCTAGTTGACAGAAACTTGGGCTTCTCATTTCAGGTATGCTTCCAGCACTGTGTGCTGGTAAAAAATGTAATTATGTCCGCTGCCAGAATGGTGATGATGGATGTCAAATTTTTAATTTTGTTTTTTTATGTCAATATTTATTTTTGTTGTGCTTCATAAGTAACAAACATTCTTGCTATGCCCCAACAGCAGTAGCAAGAGAATCAATGTACATAGGTAAGCAGTAAAGTGCAATCAAAAGTACAGCACATTTTATTTTAGTAATATCAAGCAATAACAGGCTAGGTCGATGGAGTTCCGGCCTGATTAAATCACGTGTGCAGGGGGTGTAATAGCACACCTGCATAAAATGACAAATATTTCTGTATGTGAAGTGTTTCAAGTTGAAGCGCTGCACACACAGATTGCGACCAAGTGGACATGGTGGTTGGAGTAATCCTTTTAGAGAGATCTGGGCATTCTTACACTGTGAGCTATTAGAAGTTGGGCCTTTTTCTGACACACCTTTTCTTCCAGTGTCGAAAGCTGAAGACGAAGGAACTGAGACATTGCTACCTGGCTCCATGAACTGTGCCGAGCTCGGAATGGTGGGAGTGGTGTTACATTCCGCCCAATCATTCACCACTCCTCTTCCAGGTTGTGTCATTTTATCCACTTTAAAATCAGGCAGAATACTCCGTATTGCTCCATGCTGTATTAGTCCACACAGCAAAGGGGACAAATATATTCCTAGTCTACAGGGTTTCCAAATTACAGAACATCATGCTAGTATGCTTGTGCACTGTACTGTGTTAAAGGCTATATTGGTAATTTATATCCAAATATAACACTACAAGCACAGAAACAAATAATATATATATATATATATATATATATATATATATAAAAAACAGTAGAATTAATTTTCAGTAGTATATTTTTTCACTCGTACTAGTGATAGTAGGATCCTGGATTAAAAAATGAGCCACAGATCTCGATTTTTCGCCTTCGGCCCTGGAGATGTTTTTAAGCGAATATAACTGCGTGTTCAGAATTTTGGTGGTCAAGTGGGCCACTTGTTAGCTGGGTGGACACCTGTAGTTTCAGCTCCTAACTTTAAATCGGCCCTAGTTTCTATAACTAGATAAACAGTACAACTTGCCGTTGTGAAAATTGACTCGTTTATAGGGATAGCGTTTTTTGGCATGGTACATCAATCTCTGGTGCTCAGAGTGTTAACAACATTCTGTGTTTGGCAGATTTCTTTTCATCCTGGAAATCTAATTCCTGCATTTCTTTTTCAATATCACATCCGTCCCCTCCTCTCACTCCGTGGCCTCAAGGAAGATTGAATAAACCCCAAGGTGACACAGCTGTTCAATTATTGCTGTCCCCGCAGTGTTTGCACTTCAGTTACAATATATACATTAACGAAAAGAACAGGTCCTGCGTGTCACGCTGTGAGCTAGAGACTGCGCTGTTGCTGGGGCTTGGATTAGATGGAGTGCGGCTCCTAGAAAAGGAAGGGTTAATTATGTTTGCTATTCATCTGTTTAGTTGAGATTATAGTTAAGGGAGCTGAGAAACTGTACCAACGATGGCCAAAAAAACACTATTTTCATTCAGAGTGCTTAGTGCGAGCATATTCACTACTTGCAGTGCCGGATGGATTAATATTAACTCCCCTTGGGCATCGCAGGAAAGCAAGCGTAGGCTTATTTATCTATTTATAGGGTGCCAACGTATGCTGCTGTGTTGTATAATGGCATGCAAATGAGGACAATAAAAAGTCACATGTCGATATAGAGATTCTATAATGTCACCACATTAAAAAGACTGTGGCATTATTATAACGCCATTTATAATGACGAACGTCATTAATGCTTTAGGTACATTGCAATAATCAATATGATGCATTAAAAATTAGATTAAACTTCAGCCTGAAAAATCATTTTTGTTAGGACACTTTTCTGTGATCTATAGATTTGTCAGGTACCTGGCTAACAGAATGTACTGGTAAAATGATATAACCCACACATTACTTAATACATGCAGCATAACATCTCTCCCATGCATATATATCGCTGTGTAAAAAACAGAAATGAAGCACACTGATTTTTTTTTTAATATATATTTTACACTTAATTTATTTTACACCTATTGATCCTTTTATAACAAACTGTAAAATTAACACTCAGGCCTCAAACGACCTCAATAAATCTAATCTCTACATGATGTTTCAAAAATGAAGGCAAGCTACAGCCTGGAGCGTCCTTTTAACTTCACTCCTGTAATGGCAAAACACAGGGACATCTAAGTTTGTGGCACAGATATAAATATCTGTTGGCTGGGCATGGTTTACATGGTTAAGATCCATAGTCTTGATTTAATGCCTTTCCTAGCCTCTGCTCTTCTTCCATATTAATTGTCCTTCCTTAGATGGTTCCCAACAACAGCCTTATTTGGAAGCCCAGGTATTTGCAGAGCTTCATTTAAACTCAGTTATTTGTAGAGCTGTATTTGAAAGCACAGCTATTTGCAGAGCTTCAAAGCACTATCTCCTCTGATCAGAAGCTGCACGGCATGTGGTTAAGGTGTCCTTAAGAGATCTTTCATTCCAACAAGTTTTTTTTCTGGATCTATCTGTCCTACTATCTATTTATCTATACAGCATACATAGAGAAAAGCCTATTTCAATCCACTGGCAATATTGTAGAAATAATAGCTGGAAGGTATTCATATCGGGTAGATAGGATAGTTGGGAGGTATGGATATCCAGTAGATAGGATAGCTAGGAGGTATGGGTATCAGTAGATAGGATAGTTGGGAGGTATTGATATCTGGTAGATAGGATAGTGGGAAGGTATGGATATCCGGCAGATAGGATAGGTGGGAGGTATGGATATCCGGCAGATAGGATACCTGGGAGGTATGGATATCCGGCAGATAGGATACCTGGGAGGTATGGATATCCGGTAGATAGGATAGTCAGGAGGTATGGATATCCGGTATATAGGATAGCTAGGAGGTATGGATATCCAGTAGATAGAATAGTCAGAAGGTATGGATATCCGGTAGATAGGATAGTGGGGAGGTATTGATATCCGGTATATAGGATAGTTGGGATGTATGATATCCGGTAGATTGGATAGTTGGGAGGTATGGATACCCACTAGATAGGAGTTGGGAGGTATTAATATCCAGTAAATAGGATAGGCGGGAGGTATGGATATCCGGGATAGCTGAGAGGTAAGGATATCCGTTAGATAAAATAGTCGGGAGGTACAGATATCCGGTAGACAAGATAGTTGGGAGGTATGATATCCGGTAGATAGGGTAGTAGTGCGGTATGATATCTGATAGATAGGATAGTCGGGAGGTATGGATATCCGGTAGATGGAATAGTCTGGAGGTATGATATCTGGTAGATAGAATAGTTGGGAGGTATTGATATCCGGTAGATAGGATAGTTGGGAGGTATAATATCCAGTAGATAGGATAGTTGGGAGGTATGGATATCCCGTAGATAGAATAGTCTGGAGGTCTGATATCCGGTAGATGGGATAGTTGGGAGGTATGGATATCCGGTAGATAGGATAGTTGGGAGGTATGGATATCCAGAAGATAGGAGTTGGGGGGTATGGATATCCAGTAGATAGGATAGTCGGGAGGTATGGATATCCAGTAGATAGGAGTTGGGAGGTATGGATATCCGGTCGATAGAATAGTTGTGAGGTATGATATCCGGTAGATAGAATAGTTGGGAGGTATTGATATCCGGTAGATGGGATAGTCGGGAGGTATGGATATCTGTTAGATAGGAGTTGGGAGGTATGGATATCCAATAGATAGGATAGTCGGGAGGTATTGATATCTGGTCAATAGGATAGCTGGAGGGATTAACCCACCAACATGTATGCACCCCTCTAGCACATACTCCTTACAGATGTATGCATTTTTAAAACATATGAATGCATGTAAAGTGAAAAGTGAATGATGTATACAAGTGTTTCATTACCTGTCCTAGGTGATTCATTAGGTCATCAATACCCACCCAACCTTCATAATTCCCCATCTGTTTATGCTATATCCCCTCTTCTGGTTTATACCCATTTCTATCTTCACTTCTGTCTCCTAGTTTCTCCCCTGGTATTAGCCCCCGCTCTGTTTCTAAGTCCAGCCTTCCAGGTGTTCTAATGTGTGAGAGAGCAGTGTTTCTCCTATGGCCACTCGCCATGCTCTCTCCAGACATGCATGCCCATTTGGAAAGTGCCAGACTAGAAGGAGCCTCGAGAAGTCTGTTCTACAGTGGGCATAAACTGCTTTTTACATGGCAACACACATGCTGGGCTCATCAGGAGCGATCAGAAGATTAGGCGGGAAGCATATAACATAGGAAGCTCATAGACGTATGACTTTCTCTCGTGCTATGTGACTTCTCCATTGATAATAGAGGTCAGGCAGCACTGCATGGAGACGTTCCAGGTAGAGTATGGCCAAACGATCACTTACCGGAAGTGCTTTACATCAAATGGATCAATAAAAAGGAGCATGGACTTGAAGCTGCAGCTCCATCAGCCCCAATGTTAATGTAGGATTGTCCATGCATGTTCGCATAGTTTGACATTTACCTCGAATGGGAGGGTGCCCAATATGTTTGTTTTTTCCTCTGATTTATTCATTCCTTGATTGTACCATTCTACTGAACATTTAAAAAAAAAAAAAAATCTATTAATGGGAAAAAAAGGACCATTTGTGATGCTTGAGAAAAGGCGGTGGATTCGTGGAACAGTCAGGACTGTAGTCATTCGAAAAGTAATAATGCTCTGAACACAATACCTGATCTTTGGTTTCATAGAGGGTGACCATTATTGATTTATCTTCCTATACTATCAAATCACAGACGCACAGTTATTCTCAGAGGAATAAGAGATACACTTTTTAGTCCATGTAAAAAAAAGGTTAAAAAAAAAACGAGGACAATGAACATCCTCTGATGAGAGCCAAGGACAGTATGTCGTAAGCTGGAGTAAGATGCAGCGTTAAACACGCCGGACGCCAACCTACTATTTTACAATCCGATATCACCTACACTGCTTGACGCAGCAGCCATTTCAGAAAAAAGACAGTTTTGCGAAAACCTTCAAAACGCCTCAACTTTTCATTTGGGATAGATAGAAAAAAAATCAACTGGGGAAAAGAGGCATCAATTAACTCTGCGTGCACCACTAAGCCACCTTTAAAATCTCTCCCACTGACACAGCGGAGAAAAGAGCATTGAAAATGACAGGTTATTTCAAACGACAGAAATAGAAACTTTGCAGGAAATCATTACATAGTGCCTTAGTAAGAGAGAAATACATCTGAGCTTACAGTGTAACATAATGGTACCCTAGTAAGAAGTGTGACACTTCTACGTCTCTGTGTTTGTTGATCTGTTAAAAGGCCTTGTGTTATTCTGTCATGTCCAACCCGTAACTAGATGTCCCTTGAAGGAGAGGACACACTCAGACATCTTCCTATATGAGTAAATGGGAGACATGGGAGCTGTGATAGTTCAGTCAATTCCTATTTGATAAGGAAGGTAGAAAAAGCTTGTCATGGAGAACTTGCAATTTAAAAAAAATGGAATGTTTGTTTAAAATACATTACAGAAATAAATGGAAAATACATCCTGTGTGTACTTTCAAAATAGGCCATGGAGTTAAATATAACCTATCTTTTAATACTTATAGAGGATGCACGGACAAAAATGCATGTGTTTTGGCTGCTGCTAGCTGGCCCCTCCTTCACCAGGAAGATATTTCAATAACTCCCAAGTGACCCTATGTAGGAGGGACAGTCCCTATTTATGGTTGAAATCCCTCTATCCCTTTTTTTTAACCTAATGTCCTCGTTTTGAGGATCTCCATATTGCTACCAGATAGCCACTAGAGGGACTTCCGGGTCTTTAGTCGCCTAAATGACACTGTATGTCCTTACTCTATGCATGAGGACTTCCAGAGTCACTGGAACCCCCATAGGAAAGCATTGAATAATGCTTTCCTTTGGGGAAATCCTATTACGAGCGCAGCCATTGGTGCATGTGCATTAGGTCTCCCCCACTGGCTGATGTCGGCAAGGGAGGAGTGAAGGCAGACCCAAGCCTTCAGCCCTACTGGGAGGTCCTTGAAGGAGGGGGGAGCTATAGTGCCAGGAAAACTAGTTTATTTTCATGCCACTATAGTTTCCCTTTAAATGTGTTTAAAAATCAGTCTGTGTAAATAAGGTACATTGTTTTTTGTGACGGACCGCCTTGCACCCCAACCGGGTACCTCCATCAGTCGCTGCTTCCTAGCACTTGCGAGTACCATAAGCACTGTACTTTTATGCAAGTTTCCCAACAAGGGTGACACCCAGGTGGACCTTGTTGGGCACAGGGACACAAAGTGAACAGATCAATAAAAACAGAGCCATACAGTGAGACACTCCCATACACAAACAATATAATCCCTCCTCTGTGCTTGGGAGATAATTGAATTAGGAATTGTACTAATCTAACCCAATTATCTCCAAGCACAGAAAAAAAACCTTTTTTAAAAAACACCCCAAGGGTACCCTAAAAATACATAAAACCCCACAAATGTTACATCCCCCGATAGCCCTGATCTGTGTGACCAACATATCCAAAAATCACCCATATCAGTTCAGGGGTTCAGGAATTTCCTGGAAGTGTTATTTTTGACCGACCGTGCACATGGTCCCATGCCCAAAACAGTTCCAGAGAATAAATGCCAGCGGTCGGTCTCTCTGTCTGGAGTACAAAAGTACATACTGAAAAGACAACACCCCTTGATCCAGAATAAACCAGGTCAGGGATGAAGAGAAGGGTTATAGAGGTAGTAAAGGGCCTAACCCTAGGGAACAAACAACTAAAAACTGGAGAGGAGAAAGAACCCTTGCTGGCAAGGGAAAACAGCCTCCTTCCCAGTACTACCTCATATGTGTTAAACTATAGAAAAACTTGCACGTAATTATAATCAAATTTTATTAATCAAAAAAGAGAGAAAAGACACTAGAAATAATGTGAAGATCAGTAAAAGACCACCTAGTGGGTCTTAGATGTGAAAGGGAATTAAAAAGACTGCTGGCCCAACTGCTCAGGTGGAAACAAAAAGTTCACCATAAAAGAGCATCTCCTCGTATGGAAATAAGATAATGCCGCAGTCTATGGGAATATAGTCCCAAATAGATTCAATCTAAGACACTAAGTTATAGGACTAGATAGTGTTGCAATTCAGTAACTGTGTACTGTTGCAATCCAAATAGTCACCTGTGGATTATATATGGATCACAGTATTAGAAAACCAGAAACTGTTGCGATTCAATTAGTGTTTTGTCACTAGAAAGGTAAACTGCAACACGAAATCTCCTGGAAAAAATGTCAGAAGAGAAAATCCAACTTAGGCAGGAAGCCCAGGGCTTCCGATGCCAAATGCTGTTCTTGCTTTTATTTTGCACTTATAGATCGCTAGACCATGTACCTATGTGATTAAACAGTTAGGGGTACTTTCTGCCAGCTGAGCTCTGCCCTACTGTCCCACAGAGCCATGGGGATCTATTTACAGCCATCTGGCTCTCCTCAAGCTACCTTTCTTACTTTATTTTCAACTATCTTCAACCTCCTGTCCTTTCGATTTACCTTTCTTTTGCTACAAATTTGAGTGGACTACTCCCTAGCCTACATAGTGGTATTTTGGGGGGTTTTCCACCCTAGTAGGTATTTAGCCCTTTTATGTGTGACAGCTACTATAGTGACACTGGAATACACCCTTATGTTGCCTCCAAACAGGCTAATAATGGTTGTATCTTTTTCTGACTACTACTAGTCGGTTTACTGATAGGAGGTGTGAGACACCCTGGGATTCCACCACCATTTGTTTGGTTCCTAGAGTGAGGGGGACTATGGGACCAGTCTGATATATGATTTAATACTTGGTATACCCTAGTCTCCTTATTAGTGTCTCATATGGAAGGTGAGGACTTATCATGAACTCCCTCATATTTAGTTCTGTTCTACATTGCTCCACATAGGTCTATTTGAATCCTCTGCCTAAATTGGATTTTCTCTTCTGACATTTTTTTCCAGGAGATTTCGCGTTGCAGTTTACCTTTCTAATGACAAAACACTAATTGAATCGCAACAGTTTCTGGTTTTCTAATACTGTGATCCATATATAATCCACAGGTGACTATTTGGATTGCAACTGTACACAGTTACTGAATTGCAACACTATCGAGTCCTATAACTTAGTGTCTTAGATTGAATCTATTTGGGACTATATTCCCATAGACTGCGGCATTATCTTATTTCCATACGAGGAGATGCTATTTTATGGTGAACTTTTTGTTTCCACCTGAGCAGTTGGTCTAATTACGTGCAAGTTTTTCTATAGTTTAACACATGTGAGGTAGTACTGGGGAGGAGGCTGTTTTCCCTTGCCAGCAAGGGTTCTCTCTCCTCTCCAGTTTTCACTTTTATTTTTTAGTTACAAAAGTACATACTTCACAAACAGAGCCTTTTAAAGTATTTTAGCCAGGTCTATTGCAGGGCCATAGTCACAGGGTAAGAGGCTGGCCAGCAGGCTCCTCCATGATCCAGTGACGAGGTTACTTTCGTCACATTCTTGTAAGTCATCTAAAATGTTTCTGAACAGCCCCACCCATGGTCACACCCCTAAAATTAAAGTGTCCCCTCTTTATCTCTTTAAAATGTTAGGTAAGTGTAAACTTCCACACCATAAACCTTCGCCCAGCATGAATTTATTGGATAATCAGTTTATCCCATAGGATTAATGGAACTTCTCTGAAAACTGACTGTAGCCATACTGTGGCTGCTATCAATTTAAACAGCAGAGCCACATTCTACACATTCCTCCTGGGGGTAGAGGGAGCTCCTTCCAAGCACTCTGTGAACTGTGAGGACTTTGCAAATACAACTCAAATAAAGTAACAAAGGTAACCAGGAACTCATGTTCCATGCATCCAGGGTTAGCAGCTCTGAGACAGGTCTAGAGCTGTAGCGATTTTTCCAAATCACAGACCAGAGAGCTAACTAAGGTTGCTCTATGCAAAGTAGTTATGGTATTTAAAGTAAGCCTTTAAGGGCTATAGAAGAAGGGATAAACTTAATGTTATTATCACAAAAAAAATACTTTGTTATGTATTGTCCATGTTATGTATTTCTGTATTTGTGTA